GGGGGGGGGGGGTGTGCACGCACATGCCCAACCTCAGCTATGTTCCCATTTCTCAGGCTCAGGAACTGGAGGCATTTCAGGCCATTTGAATTGCTTTCCTCTCATTTTACTAAACCTCCTGTCTTAAGTGAAATGAAATGCCTTCATCCCATGAGTTCCTTTTTTAAATTAAAAAAAACCACAAATTTAGTTTATTGATTTGAGAGAGAGAGAGAGAAACATAGATTTGTTGTTCCGCTTATTTGTGCATTCATTGGTTGCTTCTTGTATGTGCCCTGACCAGGGATCAAAGCCACAACCTTGGTGTATCAGGACAACGCTCTAACCAACTCAGCTACACGGCCAGGACTATGATTTTCAAATTTCCTCCTGAGGAAAGAAGCTTTGATTAGAAAAGGAGGTGAGAAATTGGAATCTCTGATCCTCCCACATCATCGGCTCAGGCCCCACTTCATTGGCTTGTTCGTGATGTAATCATTAAGCAGGGAGTTTATTCTGTTAATTGTCCGTTTTTTGCCTGTTTCTCTATGACTCGGCGTCTTGGACATTAAGCACCTAGAAGACCGCTAATCTGCACCCTCGCCCTGCATCCAGAGCTGGAAACAGAGTTGTGTGCGCATTATTTGGCTAATGCTGGATGGCGCTGTGGAGTGAGAAGAGACCTGGATCGGGAGTCTAGAAATCTGGCCCTGTCACAGATTAGCCGGGTGACCTCGCTCTGCTCTGAGTCTGTTTCCTCACCCATAAAATGAGGGGTTTGGAGGAAGTGATCTGGAGGCCTTTCCAACGCTCCAGTCCTCTCCTTGCTGAGGGTAAGGCCGTCAGTGTGCTGTTGGCTGGCCTTGCCCGCAGCTGTGTCCGGCCCCAGGGTGGTGTCCCGCGCCACAGCCCCGCCCTGCATCGCCTGGCCTGGCACAGCCTCTCCATGATGGAGCCTGACCCCCCTTGAAAGGTCATAATGGCACCTCTCTCTTTCTAGGAGGTTTAGTTCAGACAAATAAGAATCGTCTCCACTTTAAAAAGCATCCAGGGAAGGAGACGGTACAACCTCTCCCGATGCCTGAACAACCTCCTCTGCATGAAACTTCCGAGGCTGCCGCAGGGCCCCCGGCGCTCATGCCCCTGACAGCGGCAGAGACGTGCCCACCGCCTCTGCGACATCACCCTTCGCGTACTCCAAGCCGCCTCACTGGTGTCCCAGCGGCGCTTGTCTCAGACGCGTCCTCTAATCTTTTGTCAGCTCTGTGGTCCTCTGATCACTCTGAGGAGTTTCGTTACTCCTCTTGGCTTCTGACGCCCAACTGGCCACATTAGGGCTCCCTGTTCTACGAAGTGCAGCACAAATGACATGTTTTTACCTGCTGGCCATTCATCAGTGAAGGGCCCCGGATAGGTTCCCCGAGCATGTAGGTACAATATTCCTAACTTGGGGCGATGGGACAGGCAGTTATGAAACCTTCTCTTCACTAGCTTTCTCTTGACTGGCACTCCTGGCATCTTCAGAAAGATGACATTTATTGAGCATCTACTGTGTACCAGGAAGTGCTCTAGGCACTAATGCTTAGCAGTGAACAAAGAGAAAAAAAACTCTGTCCTCATGGAGCTCATATTCCATGACATTAGCCACTAGCCAAGTTTGCCTATTTAAATATATGTTAATTAAAATAAAATCAAATTCAAAACTCAGTTGCTCAGTCACACTAGCCACGTTTCAAGTGTTCACTAGCCATATGTGACCAGCAGGTGCCATACTGTATGACACAGGATAGAGCTCTTCCATTGTCACCAAAAGTTCTGCTATGTCTAGGTGACCACCTGAGATTCTGACAACCCTGAACCCTGACTTAGGATTTTTTTATGGGCAAAATATACCCATAATAACTTTTATCTTAACTGTATTCTCTTCTGTGCTGATTCTTTGAAAGTCAGGAATCTCTAAACACCTATATAACCCTTTATTAACCAGAATATTTGATTAAGTCTGAACATCACAGTCAGCTGGTGCCAGGTAACAGATGGTTTGCTATATAAGTGGAGGAAGGGAGAACTCAGAGGACTATCTCACAGGTTCACAGAGCAGCTGAGCAAAAAGGATCTCAGAGATTATCGAGCACCCCGGTCTCATGTCACAGAGGTGGAAACTGAAGTCCCAGAAGATTAAGTGACTTTCCCAAGGTCACATTTAGCCAATGTGTGAGCCAAGCTTAGAATTTACATATCCCGATTCCCTGTCCAGTGCTCTTTCTACTGCGTTCATTCATTTATCAACAAATAGTCATGGAGCATCTACTTTGTGCCAGGTGCCAGAGACATAAAGATAAATAAGACTCTGCCTGCTCACTAGAGTTTATATCCAGAAAGGAGAGTGTTGTGCTCAAACAAACAAATGCCTTGCATCACAGAGTTACTAAGGCTGAAAAAAGAGAGATCTCCTATGTGCAGGGAGGATTATGTGGAGGGAGGGGGTAGTTCTGACCTGGGATGCAGGAGCAGAGAGGGGCGCCCCCTCCACCCTTCTGCACCTGTTTTGCTTTCTTCTCTACCTGTGCCAGGTGACTGAGACTCAGGGATGAGCGGGAAAGGACTGAAACCACCCGTCACCAAGTACAAGGCTCTGAGCTGAGCCTCGTACTGGTCGTAAAGAACAGGAACCAAGGAGAGATGGAGTCCCTGAGACAAGGTGGGGGTTGGATCTCTAGAGTTCTGAGGCCAACCAGCCTTCCTCCTCTTGGACCTGCATTGCTGGGGACAGGGATGGTCAGACACTGCCCGCCACCTCCCCCTCCTCCTGCCTCTGCCTCTCTTTTGGAAAGACGTCAGAGTGACCTTGTCAGTTTAAGGATGAAGCTCCACTTTGGCGCTGACTTGCGTGTTGGGATACTCCTGTGCCAGTCCTGAGAACACTAGTTCCCCAGTTAATGTTAGTGTTCAACAAGAATGACAAGTTCTCCCCCCCAAACCCTACATCCACCATCATCTCACTGGTTTCATGGACTCTGGTGGGTTGCTTTCACATTCCCCACACTTACTGAAATAGCTGCTTTTCATTACAGAGACCTCAGGGCCAAATAATTGACTTTGGCACCTCAGAGGTGAATTATAGACCTGGGACACACCCAGGTGATGATAATATGACTTCTTACGGCAACAGTGACTCAGTAATCCAGGCCATTCTTTTGTACCTTACCCTCAAAGTGAGGATTTGTCAGTGACATTTAAATAATCTCACCAAAGGACAAGTCTAGCTGACAGTCTGCTTAAGGGGTAAGTTAGGGGACAGGGGAGGGGAGGGAGTAGGAGGGGAGGGAACCAACCCTTAGGGAATACCCCTCAGACTTCCAGGCTCGGCGTGGTCTTCCTGGATGCTCGGATCCCTTACAGATATTACCTCCTGCAACTCTCCCAGTCAGCCCACAAGATCTTACTCTCATTTACAGATAGGACACCGAGGCTGTAAAGTGTCATCACTTCCCCTATGTTCCACAGCTAGCAAGCAGAGGGGACTGGATTTAAACCAAAGCCCATCTGACCTCAAAGCCTGCCTTTTTCTTTAAAAAAAAAAAAAAAAAAAATCCGTTCTCCAATAATTGGTCTATGCCCATGTTATTTCACTAGCTTACTACAGACTTAGTGAGACCAGAATTGGAATTGAGGTGAGATTAGTTAATTTGTGAATTTTAAAGACACACTAAGCCAAGCTCCTGACTAATAAAAGAGTAACATTACTTTCTTCCCCGCCAGGATTACAGTAAAACCTTTGCTTTTGGTAATAATGACAGCAAAAGTTTTCAATTATCAAGACTTGTGGGGGGTTTGTTTGTTTTTCCCCTTTTCAAGTCAGGAGCATTTGATCCCTCCAAGCAGGAAATGAGTGAAAATCCCAAATGACACTTTCACTGTCATTTCTGATGCTGGCTCCTATGTACTTTTACATTAGCTCATCTGCAGAGGCTCGGGGCAATGAAGCTCCTGCTCTGAGGATGGCAGTCAAAGAAATTCAAGTGTCCTTAAGACACTGCCCTTCAAACGGAGGCTGAGTTCAAGGTCCAGCCCTGACCCCTGGAATTTATCATTATGGGAGAAATGCACATCCCCTCTCTATGAGACTGGAGATCATAAAAGGATCATGAAGATGGGTCAACTCTTAGGGATCAGTGCTGAATGTGGGAGGAGACTGGGTCATTCTCCTAGGCATTGCCTTGGGCAGCCTTTATAGAAATGTTGCAGGTATTGGGGGCAAGGGGTGGCGGAAGGGTCGAGAAAAGCATAGAAGAGTTGAAGAAGAAAGCTTTGCAGAATTCCCCCTTGGGAGATGATTCCATGGCCTAATAACCTCATTGTTTCCCTCGCCCCTTGACAGTCTTTCTCAAATTTCCCTTAGATCCATTTGTCTAGTTTAATGATAAAATCGTACTCTTACACTTCAGGCTCTGCTCCCCAGGACCACTCATCATGGCTCCCTAGCTCTGGAGGCAGCCACGCGGGGCCTTAATATCATTCTGATTCGGCCCCTTCCGGTGGTGCTCAGGTGGTGGGTCAGAGCAGGAAAGTGGGAGGAGGCGAAAGAGCTCGGTCAGCAGTCTGTCCAGCTGCTCTTGAAGCAGCAGGGAAAGTGGAAAGTCCCCACCAGGTCCCAGAGTTTGCACTTGGAAGCTCCCCAAGCTGGCCCGTGGCCCCAGTCAGGGTCTCAGATATCCAGAGATAACCCCAAATGCACTATTGCCCCTGGATTCCAGATTTGATGTTTCTCATCCAAGTGGTGACTTAGGGGTTGGTGACACGGTGCTAACTCCTGCCTCCAGTGACTTAAAAGCCCTTTAGAACTCAGCCCTCCTCAGTACTAGCGGTAACTTACTCCCCAGCCGGATTCTGGGCTGAAAGCGCACTAATGCGTTATTCTAACCAGAGTCTCTCCTCTGATGGTAGCTAAACGCTCGCAACACGTCTTCTTGATCTGGAAGATCGGCTGCACCTGTCCACATTCCCGGCTCCCCCGGGGAGGCCGTGGGCACTGCAGGGGACAGAGAGCGTAACCATGTCTCCAAGCACCGGTGAAGCAAGGAGACTGTATTTCCCCTAGACCCCTGCAGGGGAAACTGAGGCCCCGGGAAGGTGATTCTTCAAGGTCATAGGGCAAGTCTAACGAAGGGCAATACTCTAGCATGCCAACCCATTTAGAGCAGAAGGGGACCCTAGGGTCGTTATGATCAACATTTGACTGATATTGGAAACTGAAGTCTGAAGAAATGACTTGCTCAAGGTCACATGGCTGAGAAAGGCAGGACCTGGTCTGGAACCCAGGGCCCCAGCTTCCCAGAATAACATTCTATGGTATTCTAGAAGCTACATTTTGACCACACTGAGATTTTTACTGTTCTACCTTACTTTTCTCTTATACTTAATCCTGGGGCCAAGACGTCCATTCACCCATTCATTCATTCATTCATTCATTCATCCACCCACCCACCCATCATCCGTCCATCCATCCATCCATCCATCCATCCATCCATCCATCCATCCATCCCCTGCCCTCGCTCAGTTCCAGGAACCCAGGTTACTCTAGTGATCTCAGCAGGACAACCGCCAGCCGGGACCCTGTCCCCCTGAGCGCACCTGCAGGACCAGTCAGGCCCTGGCGGGTCCGGGTGCAGATGGGCCCGTCCCCCGCCTCCTTCCCTCCTCTGCCCTCCGAGGCGCTCCCCGTGCCCGGTGTCCTCTGCCCCCTCCCGCCACGGCGGACTGGTATGTGCAGGATCAGAGCTCTGGAAAGGTTACACCCGGTCCTCTCGCCCCGGTGAAATGTGAGCGCCCTGGGCAGAGGCGCCTTGCACATAGAAGGACCGAATCCCAGCCTCCGCATGCCTCNCCCTGCCCCCCACTCCGGCCACATTGCTTCGGGTCAGCGTCACAGGCCAGGCTCCCGAAATAGCCCGCGGCTTGGGCAGCGACTCACCCACTGGAGAACTTTGATGAAGCCCAGCGGCTCCTCCAGCCGCCGCCAGCGCAGCCCCACGAGCAGCTGGTCCACCTGTGGAGACGAGGGAGGTCCAGGGCTCAGGGCGGTGGGGGACCCCGGGGAAGCGCCGCTCCCCCTCCTCCTACCCACACCGGGGACAGGGGCGCAATAAAGGTCCGGACGCCAGGGTGGAGAAGGGCGCTGAGGGCGCCCCAGGGGCGCGCGGGGGTACCTGCTGGCGCGGCGACTTGTCCGCTGGGCGGCTCGGGCTCTCCGGCGTG